TTAAGAGAGATAAACCCCAATAAGAACTCTGCTGACATCGGGAAAAGAACTTGACATGGGAAAATAACAGAGTTATGGACCAGTGAATAATCTCTCATCATCATAATGGGCCTCAGGCCTATGATTCTCAGCATGACATGACAAATTCCTTCACCAAACCATCACTGAACCTACAACAGATTTGTTAGCTGTAAATAGCAATTAAGTCATAGAGCAGGTGGCCATCAAAAATAAATTTGGAGCATGCGATCACAATTTCCTTACATATAAATTCAGTGGGAAGATAAATAAGAATAAGCCTGCACTGCATATGCATGTTTTATTTCAAAAGAAATTAAACTCCAAGGAATTAAACTCCAAAAGGAATTAAACTCCAAGGAACTTTGAGACTCTTTAGTGTGGAATGCAGTGATAAGTGCATTTTTGTATGTGAAAGATGCTCAGAATTTCTGAGAGATGTGCAGTGTCTCTGGAATATGCAAAGTATAGAGGCAAAAGCCCCCTGGATGAAAAGCCACAAAGTGAAGGGTAAGGAGAAAACTTTTCTTCATATGTTTGTAGATATAATGTAGCATCAATCTGGGAAATGGATTTTTAAAAGAAGAGATAGTTTTTCATTCAAGTAAATAACTGAACCGGAAGGAGAAAGTGGCTGTGAAAAGAAGATGAGGTCAAACCTAAAAATATTTGTTAAAATTAAATAAATATAAAACATATATAAATAAAAGTCTTCAACCAGCAAAATGATAGTGAAGAGCAGAGCAGAGGACAGGAGCATAATTAATATGACAGTACAGGAATTGCCACCCCCAATTTGAAGGCAAAACATACATTTATGTGATGAAGTAAAAAAAACAAGTTAAGACCTGAATTTGAATGGATTTTTTTATACCATAATATTTTTTTTATTCCCAAGAATGCAACAAAGAGTTACAGAGTTTCACAAAATAACAGGCACTGTTCAGATAAACTTCACCTTATCTGTGCTCTCTCAGTTTTGGGAATTGGAGGTCCATCAGAAAATTCCTTCCTTCAACCCAGACTTAGGATACATGTCAGTAGGTCACTTGCCCTTTCACCCCTTAAAAATTATCATCTGCCCCATGTTACTGTATAGCACCAGTTAGGAATTTCTGGAGTCTTTGTCAAGGAAATACTTTTATCCAGAAAACCTCTGGTTTTGGCAGCACATCCCAACTCCTTTCATTCCTGTGCCCTTTCACCTTTCTCCTCTTGCCCCTCCTCACCCCACCTACAAAGAGGCAGGTCTCTATCCAAACCCATTACCTTTTCTGTTTCTTGTCCTCTTGTCATGAGTTTTTTTGCCCTGCTCTGACCTTTCTGAGTTCCACGATTCCTTCATTTCACTTCCACTTTTCCAGTAAGAGAAAACACTGCAAGACACATCAGCCTGGAGTGTGTGAAGTATTGCTCTTGCACTTCACAGGACTTGTGGACAGCACAATCAAGATCAAAGTCATGAAGATCCAGAGTGTGAGGGCTGGACTGAGAGCAACCTCAATGCTCTGCTGGAATTGGATCCCCTTTTCCAGTTCAGACCCTGCTAAAACGATAGACTATTTTGAAAAACACCACATGCTCAGTTTCTTCTAATCAATTTATTCAAACTGAGATTTAACCAAAGTTTTCTTGGCCAAATTACAAACTCAAACCAGGAGCTAAGAACTTGCTGAACCCAAACCGAAGCCTCTCACCATTTAAATAAGCCAGCATTGTGCTCACCAAGGCACAGAGTGCAGGAAAATTCAGTTCTTTCCAGCTCCTAAATCTTCTGCTGACTCTGCTAATGGCAGGAACATCAACAGTGAGCTAGCTTGGCATGACCCTTAGATTAATAAAACTGCATCTGACACCAGCCTGCAGCTCTCCACCCTTGGTAAGACTGGGATGAAGTGAGAAGCAGCTCCCTGCTGACATTGGCCAGGTGGGTATGCAGAAATGCAAGGGTGATCTCTCCTTCCCTGTACAGCTTTGCCTCTCCCAGATCAGGTTGACCAGACTAACCTGAAGATTTTGGCTGTGGATTTTCAGCTTTCACTGGATGTACTGAAGGTTACTTAATTAAATTTACAGTTTTTCAGAAAGACACAGAAGCAAATATGTTTCTCTCTGAATGAGCACTATGTGTCTCTCCAGCATTCCCTGTAGGAATACCAGAAGGGAAATGATCCATTCTCCTGGATGTTCTGCACACCCTGGCTGATCCCACGAGGTAGAGGTTACAATATTCCTAACTCTGACCTGCACCAACCATTGTATTTCTAAAGGTTGCATCCCCCTGAAGTCTGACTCAGGCACCCTCTGTGGATGGAAGAAGCAGGATCCATTTTAACAAGGCTGGAACTGAAGTCATGCCGTCTCCAGGAGCAGGGAGTGGCAAGAACAAAATCCTTTGGAACTGATGGGATGCAGCCAGGAGCAGAATAGCAGCAGTGCTGGTGACACTAAAGGTAAAATGAGCCAAATTCACACCTGACATAGGCCAAAATTTCAGGGCAGCCACAGCACTTTACAGCAACTAAAGTGGCTGATCATGTGAGAGATTGTTCACAGGCTGAAATTTTTCATGGTCTCCAGCCAGCCTTGAGCACTGACTTACTCTGAGATCTTATTATTTAAGCAACCTTTTTCCACCCTCCCCAGATTATCCATAAAAGTAAGTGGCTCCATTTTCAAGCATCCAGCATAGATTCTGGCACTCAATGCATTTTGGACATACATTTGCGGATACTGTGGTCTGCAGCTGTGGTTGGGTGCTCAGCATCTTTCAAAATCAGACACATGATAAGTGAAGAATGAGGCCCTGATGTAGAGATCTAGGAATTCTAGGTCTCTTAGGAGTTCCTACAGACCTAGGAAGTCTAGGAATTCTGGCTGTATGTTTTCACATCTGTCAACTTTGCTGGGTAAACCAAGGAGATAATATTGGGCAGCACATGTTACATGGAATGTTTTGAGGATAGGTGAGTTTTTGTAAGCAGCTTTAAAGGATAGAGTTTGTTTTTGTGCAGTGGCCTTAAGCCTCAGGATGAAGGATCAGTGTCTGGTTCTAACTGCTCCTGGCCCAGCTTAGGTTCCCTGGGATGCTAATTGTGTTTTCTGCAGGATACATGTGCAGAGAAGTTTATTTTCATGTCTATAGCACTATGAGACTTTCCAGAAAGGATCTCTAGGGGCAGAAAATAGAGTAACATAAAAAAAAAGGAAAAATTAAAGAAAGGAAAAGGAAAAGGAAAAGGAAAAGGAAAAGGAAAAGGAAAAGGAAAAGGAAAAGGAAAAGGAAAAGGAAAAGGAAAAGGAAAAGGAAAAGGAAAAGGAAAAGGAAAATAAAGAGGAAAAAGAAAAAGAAAAAGAAAGAAAAAGAAAAAGAAAAAGAAAAAGAAAAAGAAAAAGAAAAAGAAAAAGAAAAAGGGAAATAAAAAGACAAAGAAAAGAAGAAAAAGAAAAAGAAGTGCTGCTTTCCTGTTCCTGGGACCATCCCACTGTCCTCACAGCTCAGACTGTATGCTCCTGAGGGTGTGTGTCTGGAGATGATAAACATGGTTAAAAAATCTCACAGGGACCACTTAAGCTGCAAGTGTAGACAAGGCTGGGCTGCACTGGTGGTTTGGGTCACCACCCAATTCATGCCTTTGATTGCCAAGCACTCAGCTCAGGTTCATCAGCAACCTCTCTGGGTAAAAGAAGGCTCCTTGCACGGCCACCTCATCCCAGATCTGCACAAAGGTCGAGGATGGCAAGTGTAGCACATTTCCCTCTGCCTGAGCCAGTTTGCACCTGGCCAGCCCAGGTGAGAAGAGCATTGGTCCAGGCCAGCAAACATCCCAGCTCCCGCAAGGTTCTCCTGCCTGAGACAGAGAGATGAAAGCCAGACCTCAGTCCTGGGCTCACACTTCTGGCTATGAGCTTAAAAAAGAAAGGGGGTGAGTCAGCACCCTGTGGCGGTGCAGTGGCTGGAAACTGTCCTAAGCTGACAAATAAATTTATGGCTGTTTCAGAGGAATCTCACCCACCACCACATCCATGGCATTTCTGGCTAGCACCACTGAAATGGTTTCAAGTAGTGTAATGGGACAGACACTGCTGGTAATATGCCTGTTTTCTCTCATCTGTTGCCTCAGCAAGCCCATTCTGGTTTAAGTTAGTGTATTTATTAAAAGATAAGCCAAATCCTACTTTTCTGCTCTGTAAAAAAAGATTCTATACTCCAGACCATTCCACTGAAGCAAACATTATCCATACTGTTATCTATACAGAATGGGTTACTGAATTACTTTTCTTTTATGGAAAAGAATAATATTTCTTTGACATCCTCTTTTCAGTTGCTTACAATCAGAATTTGCAATTTACAACTGCAAAACTGAGTAGGTAAGGCATTCTAAAAATTACTTTTAATATTCTTTGATTGTTTTAATGAATTTTCAGATAAAACAAAGAAAGTTGTTACTTTAAAATATAAAAAGTCAATTGAGTCTCAAAAATTGTTTACTACTTGGTTACTTCTAACAAAGAGCAAGTTTGTTTGCTTTGGTTTGCTTTGAATGCTCCCATGAGCTCAGCTTTAGGCTTACATTCAGCTAGGTGTGCTTGTCTTAGTCAGGGTCCTAAATGATGGTCAGTGGCCCCACAGTGAATTCCTGAGTTCTCACTGGAGTTTTATTTAATTCATATAATTTTGGGGTGTCTTTTTCTTTTGCCCATGTCTCAGAGCAGGTTAGCAGTCCCTAGGTCTGCCAAGCAGGATGGCATCTACTTGTGCTCCAAGAACTTTGTTTTCCAGACAAAACTAAGGTGTTTCAGATCTATTTGAGCTAAGTACATTAACTGCTCTTGCTTCTCTCAGGCACATGGTACAGGAGCAGCAGCCTACCTTCAAGGATGTAAAAATGTTTTCAAATAAGATCCTCATTGCTTTCATCAGGATGCTGTATTAAACCAGGAACAGAAAACAGAAAGCATGTGATGTTAGTAAGCAGTGGTTGAAGCTTTAACAATTTAATGCGGGGAAAAAAATGCACAAGTTTTAAACACAATTGGGGAGAAGCCAATTTTGTACGTCCAAAGGAGAGTTGGAAGCAACAATCTTTACACCTGAATCCCCAAATCTTCATCTCAGAGCCCTGAAGGGAGCATGTCAGAGGGGAAGCAAGTTGTTCAAACTCTGTGCTTGAAAGTAGAGACCAAAGTCTTTTGAGTCTGCTCCCAAGATTCGCTCATGCCCGTCAGCAGCACGGGGTCTGTCCTGTGCTCTGCCTGGTAGAAGGGACAATTCCTCAGGTGCTCTGACATGCTCGGGACGTCGCTGCGCTGCCAGTTGTGAACTCTGGAGAACAGGCTGCTGAACTGCCAGATCTAATGCAAGAGAGGGGACAGGAATTGGGGAGAGGAAATGAGGATTTTAAATACCTGTCTATGCTTACAATGGGTGTACATTACTCACTCTAGATGCTGCAATGAATGTCTGATGGTGCAGGGCTGGCATAGCAAGTGAAAGTAGGGTCTGTACTGTTTTGTACCTCATACTTGCTGGTTTTGCTGCTTTAGTTATCACCTGCCATTTTTAATGGGGATGGTAATACTTAAATATCAGAAATTCTTAGTTCTCAGTGCCTAGAAGTGGTGCACATGCAAACGGGTTACACAAGAAGAGCTTGGGCGGGGACTTTCAGAAAATGTCTAGTTACACCTTCATCCTTTTGTTAGATGTACTGCACTCTACAGCCCTGGCCCCTGACAAAAAAAACCCTGTGCAAATTCACAACCTCATGAACCTTCCCCACATCTGCATGTTTATATGCAGCTTTTCTTGTCATTCCCATGTTTTATCTGAAGAGGACACATGACTCTTTTTCCCAGTGTCACAGTCACTTGCCTTTTTGCGAGCTCTCCAAGAAGTACCACCATGGGAATATCTTTTTTTCTCCCAGACCAGCAGGACCATTCCCCTCTCTTGAAGAAGAGTGGCACAGATGTCCCTCATGAGCACTGACACTTGTGATAGCTGAGATAAACTGAAGCTGTCCAGGAATCCTGCAATGTACTTGAGCACTTCCACTGGGAGGCTGCTCAGCAAGTCCCTGTTTCTCCCTCGACTATCCACTATGGAATTGCACTTGCCCGGTTCAGCAAGAAGGGTGTCCACCTCTGGCTTAATAGCAAATGTCTTGAGAGGCTTGCTGTAAATAACCTTGGCCTTAAGTCCCTCAGGGCGGAAGTGATTTTGGACAAAAGGACATCCCAAGTAGGCCAGTGGGCAGCGATGCTGGAACCATCCATCCAGGCATGACTGAATATCAGCATGCACATTCTTGAAGTGGAATGGGAACTCATCCCTCCTAAAGAAATGACTGCAAGTGAACGTGAAAGCTGAACTGCTTTTGTTATGCCTTCTGGTTACACATTCAGTGTAGAGTTCCATGTGCAGTTCTGGTGGGCTGTTTTCATCCAGAATATCTGCTAGAACTGCGCTGGAGGAGAAGGGCTCCAAAGGAAAGCTGTATGTCTGTGTTGCAAAATCCACAAAGAGTCCGTCGATACCTCTTGCTTCAGAGATCTCATGACCTTTCAGCTCTTTTTCCAGAGCACACAGCAGTGTGGCTTCAACTATATTTGTCTTAGGTAGTTCTTCTATGTTTATTCCCAGTTCTGAGGTATCCACTGACTTGTCTGAAGTCGGCATCTTGTGGCCCAGTGCATCTCCTAGTCGTGCTCTTTTGCCACAGTAACTAACTGGCACTTTGAAGGTGTAGACAGTCTTCACCTCCTGGGCTTCCAAGTTCCCATAGACAAAGTCCTTTTCTCTGGGCGTGCAAGCAGCCATCTGGCCAAAGCGGATGAGCATTCCCCCGTGATGTACCAGATACATGTTGTAATCTGCTACACCGACTTCCTTCTTCAGCCTCTCCAGGACTCCTTCTTGCCAGGGAGCCAGTCCATTCAGTTCTCTACTCGGTGTTACTTGTTCAGACTTTTGGCCCTTTCCCTCTTCTGCACCATCAGGTCCTTCCTTTGCCTTCTCTGTGGAGCTGGCAGTACGAGAGGCTGATGCTGTTTTCTTGGAAGCCTCCTCTGTCTTTTGTCCTGTGCTGGCTGCTGAGCCTGTTACCTGGCAAGCCAGAAGCTCTTTGCTGAAAATGTTCTCCCACGTTTTGTAACTCCCCAGATCCATTCCCTCTTTGTCCTTTGCTAAATCTTCCCGCTCACGTTGGCTGAGCTCAGACTGGTCATTGCCCTCTTGGGAACCACAGGCAGCTCCTCCCACAGCACCTGCTTCCCCACCCATGGCTTGATCCATTAGTTCTTCCAGTTCATCCTTTTTCCTCCACTCTGGAAATAATTCAGCTATTTTCAAAGCCCTGAAAAGTATCTTCTGGTCTCTGAGTGCCAAAGCTGTGTCCAGACAGTCTTCATTCAAGGTCTCTTTCATAATATTCTTGTGCAGCGTTGTGTCTGAATCCACGTTTGGCCAGCGGTTCCACTCCATGGAGCAGCAGACAACACTGGCTGGGCAGACCTGGAGGTGCTTCCCCAGCTTAAAGCGGGCCATGGAGAAAGGGCAGCCATAGGCTGAGTTGAGGCAGGACACCTGCTCCAAGGGGCAGAGCAATTTGTGCTCCTCCTCCTTGCACATGTGGAAGGTGGCCCCGCAGTGGAGGTGGCAGCTGATCACCATGCAGGACACGGAGATCTCAATGGGCGCGCGGCAGTGCCGGCTGAAACATCGCTCACAGTGCCTGTGTTGCCCAGGGGGAGCTTTCTGGGCCCGGTGCTGTTTGTGGCAAAGACAAGAAGGCAAGAGTTATTGTCTGAAGGAATGAGGATGGCCACAGACCCTCCACACCCATAGCTGGTTTCCCCACATGAGGTGTTAACATGCACTTTGGTGGGAATGAGGCTGTGAGAAAGTGACTGCCAGCTCCATAGAGTCACCTATCACCTCTGACCCCCGTGGTACAGCTTGCCTGGTAGCAGCACAGATACAGACAAGGTCTTAACTGCTAGGGGCACAGTGAAGGAGCATCCCACTTCCTCAACAGTGAGTAGGAAAAATGGCATTCCTTTTTCCTCTCTACATTTGGCCTAGGCCTCTTCTCATCTCCCTACAAAGACATGGATGTTACACAATGAACCTCCCTTTGCTCTACACCACCAAGGTCAAGAGTGAGGATTATTTTCAGGATAATTCCAGTGTGGAAAACAACCTGGGTAAGAGGTAGTTTCCTTGGCTTTCTTTACTCTGCTTTCCTGATTTACCCTTACACTCCAGTTGTTGGCTTACAGAACTAGAGGCTGCCCAGTCATGACTTGAAGCTACTTCCCTGGATACTTTCAACTAATATCAGAAACTTGGCCCATAGAAGACTTGCTACAAGTAGAAACTTCCCAGCTTTTGACTTCTTGCTCCTTACTATAGGAGCTGCATTCCAGCCTGGTTCTGGAATCACTGTGAATCTTTGTCAAAAGAAAAAAGCTAACGATAAGGAAGAACTCAAGTTTTGTTTTCAAACAGGCCCCAGGTTGCTTTTCTTTTTCATGTGAAAATAGGAAAAAAATTTTGATCAATCTTTTCCCCATACATTTCATGCAGTAAGAACTACCATAGGCCCAATAGACTCTCACTTGGCTCTGAGAAAAGACAGGTATTGGTAGTAAAATAGTTTTGACTGCGTATTATTTTTCCTAGGGTTAAAGAAAACAAGTTAAAGAAAAGTAGTGTTTGCCTAGATGCGCTTTCTTTTGCAAACCCAGGGTTAAGTGACCTAGCCCTGGGGAGTGGTGTGATGCAGAGGGAGTGGGCTCAGGCTCAGGGGAAGAGATTTTATGTGAAGAACTTCCTCTCTCTTTCTTGAAGGTGTTCTCTTGACTTTGTGTCTTTCACACCTTTACACCCTGGCAGTGGAAGTCATGAACAACACTAGAGAAGGAAAAATGTCTGGGAAAGGCAATGCTTGTGGGTCTCTGCACGAAATACCAACACTCATATTTGAAAATTTGATGTGCATTAATTGCTCAACACAAGTTAGTTCCATCTTTTGCAATTTCCAATGCTGATCAAAACCCGCTTACTCTCTTAATGAAACAACCCCATTCCCTCTTGGCCCTGCTGAGTAAAGAACATACACCTTTTGTGGTCCCTTTACTCAAACTTATACTCTCAAGTATAAGGTACCATCACCTTTGCAGGGAAAGAGCTCAAGACAGCAATGCAGAAAATAAAATGTGACTTCCATTATAACATCCCTTCCTTGCCTTGGAAACACTGGTTTCTGCACAGATGTGACACCAGGGTGCTGGCCAGGGTGGCCTCAGTCACCTTAAATACATGTGGTTTGGGGTGGCACCTGTCCTGCTTCAGGCTGTTTAGTTACACCTACTTTTATGCAGCTCAGAGAAGCAGGAGATACAGATGGATTAATTTCACACTGGCAGCATCCTTGCTGCTCTCATTCTTGTAGCATTTTGGTGCAAATATAATCTCTAAAAATAGTCCCAGCCATGACTTGCATAAGGTCAGAGGAAGGATGGGTACATTACACTGCAATAAAAACATGACTGTATGAACAATACTTTCCACTGCAAAAGTAACTCTTGTGGAGAAATAGTTGATAAAAAAACCCCTACATTAGAGGCATAGGCCTTATTGTTCTCCAAAATGCAGAAAGGACTGATGGCAAAGTTTCTGGAGAGAAGCCTGCTTTCACATTGTTGTATGCTGAAATAAACCCTGTCCAAATCATGTGTAAAGAAAGAAAATACATGCTTTGTTTATGAAAAGTGACCATATCACAGCATTCAGATGCATAATCAGTCTTCCTTGTTATTCAGGCGTTTTTTAGTTTAGTTTATCTCATCTCTAACTTGTATATGCTGTTCTTTTTAGACAAAAGAGATCTATTCCTCTCATTGTCAAATCTGTGAACATAGAGAACAGGAAGAAGGGACAGAGAGTTTCTTTCTGATATTTATCAGGGTTTGAATGCTTCATCTATTCTGACATGCCAGTAATCAGGAGCTCTGTATTTTAATTGATAATTTAGTTGGCTGTGGTTTAGTTGATGGTATTATTGCAAGTACACAAACTGCAAACTCAAAATGCTCAGCAGAAAGTTTACGAATTTTGCCTCAGTATGTTTGATACATAACATCCAGAGGTAGGTGACACACAGATAAGTCAGGTGACAAAACATTTCTCTAAACTTGTACACTTCTTTATTCCATGCAACTTGCAAAATTTCTCAAGGTCTGGGTTAGGAAACAAAAAACCCAAACAAACCAGGAAATTATCACTTCAATCATGTTCAAGCTACTGTGTAAGGAAAGAATGCACATTACAGTCCACAGTCTGTCCACTTTGGTAAATATTTTTAGACCATCATGACAGCAAATCAAGTAAGGTTTAAAAATATACAGCTGCTATTTTAACTGCAGCTATGTCTGTCTGGAGTGGGCCTTTTCAGTGATAATAAATTACAGTTTATAAACCAATTAAATTTATTTTCAGAAGACATATATTTAATTAATTTGCAGTAAATGAGCCAAAATAATACAAGTACTTTCTCATTTGGCATGTGCCTGACCATTTGGCATACTAAGGTCATACATTGTACCTGACCTCCTTGCACAGAATCAAGGGATACCTCCCAGTTTGAAGAAACATCAAAAAGGGCCACTAGAAACCCAGATAATGACCCTAAAGTGTGCCTCTGAGATGAAATTGCAAATGAACAAAAAACAATCTTTCTAAATTTTACAACATGATAACAAGCTCCTAAAAAAATCTCATGAAAGTTCACATCCAAATGCTGGAGCCAAGAATGCTGAAGTTATATATAAAGTTACAACAGAAGGAATGTGAATACTTCTGGTGAAGTGTATAGGGTAGATAGGCAATATTCTCTATTTCTTCTAACCCTTGTTACCTAATATATAGTGTTTATCTCATATTTATCATACTAAAATATTGAGGGGAATAGTTATCAATTTTCTTACAATATAAGTATTTTCATGTCAGCATATTTACTATCTTAGATCTAACCATGTTCACAATAATTAATTTATCTTTGCAATACTATAGGAGTGCTGGAGGTTGAAAAATACTATTACTTCTATTTGGCAAATGTAAAATTTAAGTTTAGAGAGATGAAAATATGTAGAATTAAATGTGGTGTTTTATACAAATACATAAAGCCAAGCAAAAATGCCAAGCATAGAGATGCTCAGGTTTATGTTTCACCTGCAGTTGCATGCCTCTTGCACAAAAACTTTGGCAGAGCCAGCTGTAGAATCACCTTTTCTAGGACACCAAGTAAGTCTTCTTTAACTAGTTAATTTCTGTTCTCTTCATGCACTGCTCTTCCTCAATCACTACTTAGTAACAACCTTGTCAAGAAATCAAGCTTGGGTCTCCTTTTGCTAAATAGATATTTTTATTTCTTAGAGGTGAGGACAAAATCACTATTCCATTGGAAACCATATTGTACTGCATTTGTACATGAATCCCAGGAGCCCAAGTTTTCTTAAGTCCTTTCCTTAGACACAAAATAAAAAGCAAATAAAAAAATGGCACCACCTGGAATCGTGGGGACCTCTAAATAAGTTGAACACCACACCTCAACACCCACAGCAGGGTCACTTACAGCTTGAGTGACCCCCTTGGCACTCAGCACAGTGGGTCACTGTCCTTCATGGCACTCCTGCTCTGCAGTTGCCATTCAGACTGACCTTGTACATCCAAGTTCTCAGCCAAGCTTTAAATAAGGCAGGCAGTGAGTATAGTATGGCTCAGAGCTGATGGAAAGGGAGAATTAAAGGTGTAGATGAAATCTTCCTCAGTAACACTGATAGTGAACATAAACAAGACCTACTTTTGAAGTGACCTTGAACAAATTCACATGGATTTTAAAGGGTCCTTTGATTCCAGGGCAATCCTGGTGAGCTTCAAATCCTTAGTGTAAGACATGGGGAGGAGTAAGATTTTCTGTGAAACAACTGACTTGTTGGGTAAGCCCAACAATGGAAGGATGAAGCTGTGACAATTCACTAGCTACTGCTTGTATTTCCTACCTGGAGATCATCTGGATGAGGCCTTGGTGTTTCATGGCAATAACCACTATTTCAGAGTTACTGAACAGGTTGCAATTGCTTTATACTTAAAAAAGAAATCCACTGTATAGTTCATCAGTTGGGCAAGGAATTCAATCCATGCTCCTTACCTTTCTTCTGGAGCATGCCTGTTGCCCAGGTTCTCAGAACAGCACATCAGCTCCCTACACCTGACATGCAGGACCATGGAGACCAAGAGAAGCTGTTGCACCATCAGGCCTCCTCCTTGCCTGGAAAATCTGTGCTGCACATGGGCAGTAAAGTGGCACCAAAAATTTGCTTGTGCAATTTCTGGTGAAATGCACTAAAGCTGTTACAGGAGGAGCAGGGACACTTCAGAGCAGTGAGGCACAGGTAACACAGGGAACCCTTCACTGCACTCTCCACTAAAAGACCTGGATCAGCAATGTTTCTTGCTCCTCCCTACCTGGTTCAATGTAGCCATAGCTCATCTGAGAGAAACCCACCCAAAAATTCTAGGTGCTGAAATGGTCCCCTGGGCTGGTGGCATAGTGCAGGATAGCTCAGCATCAGCATCATGTGCTGGGCGTGCTGGGGAGTCCTGTGGGAGACAGGCAGATCAGCAGGCTGTGACATGGAGCTGCTCTGCTGCTCCTCAGACATGTCAGGAGTCCCTGTGCTGTCCTTGGTAGACACAGTCAAGAAAACTTTCACTTTGCATTGGTAACTAGGAAATAGGTTTGGTCTTGGTTTGAGTTCAACAAGTGCTTTAAAAGAATGGGTCCAGTTTCATTGCAGTTTGAGGGAAAAAAAGGGAGGGTAATGGTCCAAACCATGTTTTTTTTTTTCTCTTTGGGCTCAGGTTCTATTTTATGCTCTGGTAACAATCTCATTAACACACTTTTCTGAAAGGTGTCCAGTGCAAAGAATCTCAGAACTATTGGTTAAGATCTAAGTCATAAAATAAAAATAAAAGAGAATAATTAATAAAAATTGCTACGCAGTCACAATACTAAATGGTACAGTAGTACCTTTAACTATTGAAATTCTTACTTCATCATTCATTCAGTCTAGATTGCCAACATAAAGTTTGCAGTCTCAATCTACAAAACTCATTTTAAGTATAAGCACTTTTGCCATGAAATTGTTCTTGCCTTTCCTCTGACCCTTACTGTATCTCCTTGTCTTCTCTGAGTTTCCTGAAAATAACAGAAATTGAATTTTTGATTTATCATCTGATCTGCTGCTGAAGCTCCCATCTTACAATCAGCATCTTAGTTTTTTTTTAAATCCTGCAAACAGTGCTGCAAACTACAGCTAATTCACTGAATATATTATGGAGGGTTTTTTTTAGAGTAGTATGTCACAGAAGTGCTCACAGTTACCAGCTGCCTCTGTTTTAGAGTGTCATTTAAGACATCTCATGATTATTCTATTTCATCTTAATTACAAAGGCTGTTTTGAAGATGTCTTGATTTTCATAGCTTGCTACAGTAACCATTACATTGCACCAAGGTTTGTCCAATAAAACCTCCAACTCTATTTACAAAGCCTTACCTTGATCATAGAGTCCCTGTGCACGTACTAAACACTTCTCTCCTGGTTGTGCTCAGCTGGGCTGAAGTGAGGTGGGTGAGGGAGACCTGCACACAAAGAAAGGGAAGAGAACAGAAGGACACGGAGCAAGCCCAGGCAGAAACATCAAGTAGTTTTGGGATGTTAAAAATAAAACCCGTGCATGTGACCATGTAGCTCAGCTTACAGAGCTGTCTCTTCCACTGTATTTGTTAACTCTGTCACTCCTGGAGTGATACTTCACAGGCATGTGGAGAGGCAGAACCGATAGTACTCCATGGCCCCTGCATGAGAGGAAAAGATTGAACCCCTTCCCCAGCCCTGCATCAGCTCCCTGCTGCTTTCTGATGGAGGTTTGCCCTTTACAAATTAACTCCCCTTGGTGCCCACACCAGTTTGTGGTTTATACAGTTGGAATTGTCACCCCATTCCCATTGTCACTGGACACAGCAGCTGGCACAGACAGCAGTGGTGTTTTTCTGATCTGTCCAGGCAGGGTGGACATAAGGAGAGGAGAGTGGGAATGGCCCAGACTTGAGCAGCTGGGCAAAGGTGCCTGCCCTCCTCCTGGGGACCCCCAGGAGACTCCCAAGATTCAACCCCTCCACTGCACAGTGAAAAGGTCCCACCAGCCACCAAGAGTAAGCCTTGGTACAGCTCCCAGCACCACCTTCCTCAGCCAAACCTGGGGAAGCAAAGGAGCAAAGGAGAGCAGTCATGTTTTACTGCAGGCACAGACCCATCACGGCACTTCATGGTGACTTCCATGGTGAGCACTTCAAACTGATGATTCCAGTGAGGTTCAGGGGCTCAGATAGGGCAGGACCTGCTTCTCCCTGGTGGGTGCTCACCCCGTCTGGCTGCAGACATCCCTTGTGACCCTGCTGCTGTTTGCTGCCACCTCTCACCGCCTCAGAAACACAGAACAACGCTTTTGGCTGTGGCGGCCTTGAGATCCTAAATCATTATGAACTTGATACTTTGCCTTATCTTTCTCTTCCCCGTCTGTGAGTCCCCAGTGACTCTCATGGCTTGAAACATTGCAGGCAACTGTTTTCATTTTTAGGGCTGAACAAAATGTCAGTGGGTGACAACCAAGGCTTGCTGGTGCCAATTGCAACTTAGTAGAGCTAAATATGGTCAGCAGTCTGGCTCCGTGGCCTTTTTTAGAAAGGGCTGTATTATCATGATACCATTTTCTGGCATCCCATTGCACTGGGGAAAACAAGAGCCAGGGGTATTTTGCCTAAACTCAAATTTAACCCAATCACAGCGTGATGGCTGATCTGTTTACTCTGTCCACTTCCACTCTTCCTCCCCCAGCTCAGGGTCATTTGTCAGCCTTAAATATTGTTGTCATCTTTTCAAGCTGTGTTTAAAACCATGCTGAGGGTGTGCCTTGCTTTTGCATGAAGAAAAAGTCTACTCAAAATTCTGTATTGGTTTAAGAGAAAATTCCCTCCAGCTGAATTAACTCAGATTACAAAAACACTCAGGGCTTCAGAAGTTGTCTGAAATGAAGCTACCTTCTGTCTTAATTTTACCAGCACCTGATGTCAGCCTGATCTCAGATATCTCTGCTTTCAGACAGCTGGAACTCTGGTGGTGCTTTTTGCTGTTTCCATGCCTTATTCTGTGATCACACAGACCCAGACAGCCTGGGCCTGCCTCTCTCTCTCTCTCTCTCTCTCTCTCTCTCTGGTAGGCTTCCTCACAGCCTCACCCCACACAAGGCCCCAAATTTTGCAAATCTTTGCCTTCAGGTGATAACTGTGATTCAAAAGGTGTCATCTGTGGTGGCTGCTAAGGGCAGGTTATCACAAGACATGCTGAATGAACATAGTTCACTATGCCTGAAAATATGTACTTGGTGGGGAGAAGGGAGCAGAAGAGCAGAGAGACAGGAAACAGGAATTCATCCTTGTACCTGCACTGCATTAGCTCAGTTGCACCTGAAACCAGACTTTCATCAAAACCAGGAGAACCTGAAGGTATCTGCTCCCACCCATAACTGTGCTAGTTTGATTCAAGGTATATCAGGAATGCCAACCAATACTGTAACCGGACCTCCTGCTGCATTACAGATTTGCTTAGGTAGGGTGCAAGAAATGTGAAATCCCTGAAATGAAAGTGGAACTGGTGTTTTTTTGTTTTTGTTTCTGGTTTTTTTTTTTTTTTTGTGCAAATGCTTTGGGAGAAAGCTGTTGCCTGTCTGGTTTAATCTATCTTATTCAATGGGTAGAAATGCTGTGCTTCTATATGAAGCCCTGTGAAATATACCAATGTGTGTATGTACATAAATATATGTATCTATTGATGTGGCAAAATCGTTTGAGATCTGGTAGTCTGAGAGAGGTGAGGCTGCTGCAGCCCCATGCCCATGTCCAAGTAATAGCCAGACAGAGTTTGTATTCCCAACAGGCACATAAACGAATTCTCATATGCACCAATTAAGCAAATACACATGGACACAGATTACACGAGCACTCCCACACAGCACTGGCAGCCTCATCCCACTCCCTGCTCCAGCTGAGCAGGACAGAGGTGCACTAGTGAGCGTCTGTGTCCATCTGTGTATTTACAGAATTTCCACACGTGTGCAGTGGGTCTCCTTCCAGCAGCTGCTTCAGGCAGTGCCCAGGAGCTGCCCCTCAATCCCAACTTCTCCAGCCCCCAGCAGCAGCTCCCTGTGGTTCCTCATGCAGGGGAAAGTGCAAAAGGAGTTTAATGAGAAGACCTGAGAGGCTGTGCTGATCAGGTGCAGGACATGGACAAATCATCACAAACCATTTACACAGGACTGGCCCTTTTTATTTCTGTGTGCTGTATTTCTTTCTCTATGTGACCTAGGTCACCCTGGCTCCTGCCCTAATCACTCCCCGATGAGTCCTGTGCAATCCCCAAATGCTCTTCCCCTGCATCTCGTCCTGTCCCACACCCTTGAAGACAGCGATGCCCCCAATCCTAAAGGTGCTCTGGGGCTGAGGCTCTCCTGGGATGGCACTGGACAGGGTGTTCCTTTCTGTGAGCCCTTAATTTGGGTTCCCACCAGCCATTGTGCCCCTGTGCCCCTCGAAGTGAGCCTTTATTGGGCTGATAGCTCCTGGGACGGGCCTGGAAGCAGCCTGGTGGGTGCTGCTTGGGCTCCCCCTCCTGCCATCACCGCCTGTGCTTCTGTGGGGGTGTGCGGGCCCGCTTGTGCCACAGAACCCACTGCACGTGTCTGTCGCACCGCACACCGTGGCTGACCGCAGCCCCCCCGGCCCGCGGCACAGCGAAATGGCTCCGCTGCCGCCGCGCCCGCAGTGACGCGGTCTGCGGTGACACCGAGGCCACCGCTAGGGGACCTGCATTAATTCAAGTGGAAACATCAGCCCGCTGCGTTATCCTGGGCCGCACAAGCCCCGGGAGCATCCCTGCCCCTTTCAGCGCTTCCTGGCACGGAGCTCCCTGGCGGCGGCGCTGGCGGGCGGCGCGTTGGGGCCTAAGACCGCCGTGACATTGACGGCTGCTGCGCCATCGCCACCGCCGCCTCCGTGTCCCGGCACGCCACCCCACCGGCCGGCCGCCGCCGCCCCTCAGGCGGGAAAGGGACGCGGCACCTCCTCCCCGCTCCCTAAACCCTCCCGGGCGCGGCGCCGCCGCCCTTCGCACTACAACTCCCGGCGTGCCCCGTGCGGGAGAGGCGCGCCCGCACGGGGGCGCGCGCTGCTTGCTGGGAGCCGTAGTCTTTCCTTCGGGGCCGCGCCGTCCTGAGGAGGGCGCCGCCGCCGCCGGCCGGTCTCGCCGGAAGGGCTCTCCCTCCCAGAGGGCGCCGCGGCGCGCCGCGCGCGTGCGCAGTGCCGCCGCCAGCCAGCGCCGGGCAGGCAGGGAGGGAAGGAGGGAGGCAGGGAGGGAGCGGCGCTCGCGCGCCTCGGGCCCGAGAGGAGACAGCGCGGTGCCGCGCCGGGCCGGCAGCAGGTACGGGGGCGGGGGGGAGCCCCGTTACCTCGGCCCCGGCGGGGCGAGCGTGACGGCAGCCGGGCGGTGCGCGGGGCCGCGTCCCCGCGGGAGGAGGGACCGGGCGGGGATCGGCTGCCGGCGGCTCGGGGTGTGTGTGTGTGTATGGGGAGGGGGGGGAGGGGAAGGGAGGCCCGGGCCGGGGGTGCCGCGCGCGGCGGGAGCCCTCTCGCGAACCCCCGGCCCGCGCGCGCGCAACAGGCGCGCGGGGGCCGCGCGCGGGGCGGGGCCGGGGCCGGCGCGGCGGGAGCGGCGCGCGCGTGGGCCGGGATTGGGACCGGGACCGGGACCCCCACCTCGCGGGGGAGCTGGGAACAGACGGGCCGGTCCCGCTCTGCCCAGGGAGGGGCTCCTCGTGGCCGGACGGACTCTCTTGGCTCGTGCCGGTGGCGGGGCCGCGCGCCGGCTTTGGAAGTCACCGTGGCTGGCCGCGCGGAGTCGGACAAGTCGGTGCCGCGGGGACGGGATGGCCCGGTGCTGCTGCTCCCACGGCGGGACGGGGCGGGCAGAGGCAAGGCGTCAGCTGGGCGAGATGACATCGTCTTAAGCTGAGCCAAGGGAGGTTTAGCTTGAAGATCAGGAGGAATTTCTTCACGAGAAGCGTGGTTAAGCATTAGAATGGGCTGCCCAAGGAGATGGTGGAGCCATCGTCCCTGGAGGTGCTTGAGGAAAGACTGGATGTGGCACTCGTGGCACTCGGTGCCGTGGTGTGTTTGACATGGTGGTGTTGGGTCGCAGTTGGTCTCGGTGATCTGAGAGGTCTTTTCCAACCTGATTGAATCCGTGGAGGGGAAGGGAAACTTTCTCCTGGATCTTCCAAGCTTTTTTTTTTTTTTCTTTGCTGTGTTAGTTTTGTGATTTACAAAAACTCTGCCATCTCCCTCATTATCTCACTCATGTTATTTCTTTGCCTGCATACGATGACAGGTTAGCTCTTGGTAGCCGTTTCCAGCCGTGTCCTGTTCCAGAGGCTTTATATGCAGCAAGAACCCGTCCCATTCATAGTCTCTGAATCTTCTTGCCCGTAGCGCGCTCCATGTAGCAATGATTTTAAGCTTTGCCTCTTGAGGGCGTTTCATGAAAATGAAACTCCGGGCTGAAAAGATACCGTCATGAGCTGTGAAAATACCGGGCTGCTGTTTCTGCAGAATTCCCAAATGGTGCTGAATGGTGGTGTTTAATGGTCCCTTTATTCTTTATTCAGGCTGCTTTTCCTCTGGGTTTTTTTGTTTGCTGGCGTATTTTCTGCTCTGACTACTTGATGTTAATGAAAGACTTAGCAAAGTTGGGATATGTCAATGAGCTCTCAGGAAATGGGATTGCAACTTTATCCTCAGAAGCTCTTTATTTTAAAGCTGTTTTGTATATACCTCTGGCACTTAGTAGCTAGAGTAGTATAGTTAATGAAGCACTGTGTAAATTAATAGGTTGTATCAAGCTGATCTTTTGCGTATTTGGCCTTGTTTTTATTGTAACTTCATTGTGTTCTCCTTTCAGTGTTACCACCTGCATTGACATGTGAATTAACTCATTCAAAACAAGTTTTGAAGTTTCTACTTGAACTGTGGTTGCACCTTTTAATTACCCTTTAGACATACCCATAGGCACAGGGGAAATGAATTGTAGCCTGAGGCAGGCAGGGTAACTCAAGATGACACGTGAGGTAGAGGTTTTTCTCAACGTGGATTTTCTTTTCACAGTCTTTCAAACAGATTCAGTGATGCTTCACTTCTGAGAGATATGACTGTTTTGGGGGCTTGGCATCCCCCCACTGACCCTCAACTTCAAAGCAGAGTCTTTGTTGCATCTAGTCTCTTACTCTGACGCTGTACCAGGGTGTTCACCTCTTGCTGTCAGTGTGCCATGTGCTGATTTTTTCCAGTGTTGTGTTCTCTGTGTTGATGACTTCAGAGCTGGCATGCTCATGTGGTCCTCTATATTCAGCTGAGTGCTGGCTCCTGGAGAAGTCCCAGTTTAGTCCATTTGGAAAGGAAAAGGCAGCAAAAGCCCATGGCAGCAGCACTGGCCCGATCACCACGAGAACTAAAAGTCCTACAGTCAGTTGTGGCAGTTTCTGAAAGATTCTTTATAGGAACTCCTAAATGTAAATGTTTATTTAAGCAGGTTATTTGATAGTGTTATTTCATCTTATTTCAGCTTTGGTGTTTCTATACAGTGCTCTTTTCTTTCTTTTTTTTTATTTCCTCCCCTTCTGTTGAATGAGCTAAGGTTAATAGAACAGTACATTTTCTTTTACGGTCCTGTTTCTGCAGGCTTGATTTAAAATGTTTGTTTGTCCCTCCATGGGGTTGTGAATTTTTTCTTCTGAAGTGTTCTACAAGTTCGTGAGGAGGCTTAATTTCTATCTTTGAGTAGACAAAATAAAAGTGTAATTTTAAAGGTAACTAACCAAGTTCTTAAGTTGCAATTTTTTTTTTTTTATGGCAAGAGGATAATGGATGTGAATTAGTGCCTCCCTGAAAAACTGAAATCAAGTTTTTCTAAAATAGCATATAGCACATTCAAAAAAAAAAAAAAAAGTGATGTGATTTAGGGCTAGTAGCTTTATTGTTAATTTGAAACATGAGGGAAATAGAAAGGCAGCAGCAAATACTTCTGAAGGCTAAAGGTAATAGTGAGCGAGCCTAGTAGG